AGAGTTTTTAGGAGAAAACTTCTAACCAGGAGAAGCAGTTTCCCTGAGAAACGGCTTTTCCCCAGACAGCACTGAGGAGTTTGGAAGGAAAAAGGTTTTTGAACATAAACTTTTATATTTCAAGAAAATTACTGTGTTTATTTCTGGAATCTAATAAAAACTAGTGATGTAAGTTATAGTTTTGCCAGTAAAGACTTTAATTTTCCTAAGGAGGAGACAGCTGCGTATACATTTAAAAAAGACCCTTCTAGCTCCCCAAGAGAAACAGGCTGCTACTGATGAGTTTTGCAGCCAAGGATACAAGTCTGCCATCTAGTGGTGATTTGTGTAAACTGAAAGCAGTTGATCTCAGGAAGCCCATTTTTGTTTTGTTTTTTAAATTAAAGCAAAAGGTTCCTTTCTGTCATTAACTACCACCACACGCACGCACGCGTGCACACACACATACACACAATGGTTCTATGCATAAGTGCAGCTGGGAAAGCACTGTACTTCCTCTCCCCGACGCACTCAGAGAGGTTTAGTCTGCAGACAATGTGAGTCCTCAACTTAATAGATGAATTAAGAAACGACTAGGGTTTGTCCTGTTGGGTCTGTCCTATTCCATGAAAAAATATCACCATTCACTCGCTTTCTCCTCTAATCCACCCTGTCATCCACCTGTCACTCACCCAGATGATTATTAAGCACCAAGAAGCAAAAAGAAACATACAATCATTGGCATGATTAACACTTAAAAAAAAAAACCTTAGCAACAATGCAATAATAAAATTATAAATTGCATCAGTTCCCAGTTTTTTGCCTAAAAACATGGCTGGAAATACCACTGTAAATCAAATCATATTTTCTTATTAAAATACTTTCACCTGACCAAGCACTTAAACTGAATAAATCATTCATATGGTCAGTATGGATCTTACAGCCAAGCTACATTATTTTTCTATTGTTCTGCAGGAATTAAAAGTAAAAAAATTGTAAAAGTTACGGATATATGATGATATTATACAAAATGAAATCCATAGCTGAAATGTCTACATTTACAAATAATTCTTTGCTATTTATAACAAGCATTAAACAATTAGCAAAAATGTATCAGCAGTCTAACAGTTTAGGTTTTCTCTGAGGGCTCTCAATAAAACAGTAATGCAAAGTGTGCAGTGAGGTCTTTTATTTCTTTAAGTTTCTCTGTAGTTAGAAAATGGATCAAAACTCTTTAAATTTATCGTAGCATTTTTCCAAAAATAGTCTCTAGCTCTACATTTTGCCACAAGATGGTAAATTTATGCCTGGGTAAATAGGAAGACTTCAAAAGCAATGTCAGAAAAGATGAAAGATTATTGTCACAAGGTGCAATTTATTGTTAAATTCATTTTTAGGGATAACTTTTTACCTTTTTATTTATTTTTATATTTTCATTTATTTTTTATCTTTTCCTTTACTTTTATTCATTTTTATCTTTTTATTCTTTTTTTAGGGATAAATTTTTGTTCATAATAAAGAGGGAATTAAAAAAAGAAGGGAGCTAATAGTTACATGCTGTCTCTTTATCTGCATCAAATCCCCTTAAAGGAGGCTCAAAGGAGTTAAGTAACTGGTTCAAGGTCAGAAGACTAGCCAGTGGAAGAGTGAAGCCCTTGGTTTTGAACTTTCGTCCACCTGACCATAAATCCTGAGAATGCGATTGTTGGCCTCCCAGGACGATTCTTTCTTACTTCCATACAAACGTCAACAGAATATGAAATTAATAAGGAATCTCAAGTGCAATTAGTGATGTCATCCTAATGTTGTTAAAATTATTCTATTCTTCTACCTATTTTACCCTATAACAGATTGATCTCTGCAAACCTCACCAACCCTTACTACTCTCCTATAGTAAGAAATTACTATACTAGAGAAGCAGAATTACTTCAGTTTTTCATATTATATATTTAAACCTATGTTATGAATGACGGCAATGGTGTGTGTGTATACATATATGCGTACACATATTTCTTCACATTCTTAAATTAGAAAAGAAAGGAAAAAAGCAGAGAACTTTTTTCTCTTTTGGGGTAATTTAAAGTAAAATAGATTCCAGTGAGCACAGTACTTAAAAAGAATCCCACACATTGAAATTTTAGTAAAAGCACACTGCTAGTACTCATTTAAGGCATTCACAGAAACAGTGCTCTGGTGAGAAGCAGGTGAACAAGGGGTCCACAAAACTGAACTGCGAAAGCGGGAAGGAAAATGAAACTTTAATTTTCAATCACTGAATTTTTGGAGCTTAGAGAAGTTTTTAAACAAAGGCTCAGTTGTAAGTCCGTTCCCGTGAGACAATCCTACATAATTCAGGACACGGGAAGAATGAGTGCAGACGAGGCAAAATTGCTGCAGTTTATAGAAGCAACTATGCAGAAGAGAATGTTTAGGCTACTGCGGGGATGAGGAATTTGAGGGGCAATTAAGTCAGAACGCCATCATTTGACCTCCGCTGCCTTTGCCAGCCGGTAGCTACAAGATGATTAACCTAATTGCAATGAACTAACTGCCTGTGCCTTTATTTCCTGAATGCCTGTTTTTCCTACTTGAATGTCGCTCCATGAAGGCGAATGTCTCTCTGTACCTGGTGCACAGCAAACAGGCAGCAAACCTCTCTCCCTGATTCACAGCTTTATGTAGTCTAGAGGTTAAAACTTCGGGCTTTGGAGTGGGGCACAGCTAGGTTGAGACCTTGGCTCTTCCACGTAAGAGCTGTGATGGCCTTGAGCGGGTCTTTCAACTCTAGGCACCCAGTCTCCTTACCTGTGAAATGGGGCAGTTATAGAACTCACCCTACATGGCTGTTGTGAGGATGAAATGAGATGCTAAGTGTCAAGTCTCGAGCAGGGTGTGAGCACACAGGTGGCTCTCCAGTACCGCAGATCTCAGCGGACTTTATGGGTAGTGGAAGTTGGGTCGTTCGTCTGCTTTTAAACTCCAGTGTTCGTTGGGACCATGTGGGGAACTGGCTGCCCTGCAGCTCTGCACCCTGTCACCAGTCACCAGATTCTGATTTGGAAATTTGCATTTCTAACAGGCATCTGGGAGTAATTCTGATGCAGGGAGTCTTTGGACCACCCTTGGAGAAACACTGCTTGAGAGAATCCTCACTTTTCCCAGATTTCCAGTGATGGACAAACTAACAGTTATATATAATACATGACTCTTGCGGGGTGGATAATAAAAGCCAAAGAAGAACTCCCATCTTGGGGAGAGAAACTGAATATATTTCATTAAAATTCCAGCCTGAATAGCCAGCAAAATTTATGTCACGCCCGTATTCATTAATGACAGCTCCCCGATGCCCAGTCTCTGTCTCACTTCTTCCCAGTACGGTTTCCTTAACAACAGGACTGGGGAGCATCTCATTTGCTCGCGTGGAGAACTCTTGATGTTTCTCCAGAGATCCGGAGTCGGTGCAAAGCAAACCAAACAGTCCTAAAGGGGCATATGAATGTCTCCAATTTTTAAAGTCAGCCTTCATCATGATTACTTTCATGCCGAGGGGCTGGTGTCTTGAAAACGCACAATGAGTTATTCTCCTAGCTTCTAGATCGCATTATTGGGATGTAATTTGGGAAACTAAGACAAAGTCTAAAAGGCCTTCCATTCCTTTTTCCCAAGGAAAAGCTTTCTAACAGAAAAGTGCAGTCGATAAATAATATGAGTGTAAATGCTCTTCCTGACCACCTTGGCCTGGCCCGCGGGTTCACCGCAGCCGTAGATTTCCTGAGCTCCTTTCCTGTCCCCGACCTCGGGTTTTTATTTGCTAATAAGTCAACTGCTCCTAATAGCACAGTAACCCTCACAGATCAATTTAAAGGACTAGTTTCCAGCTGGTTACTAAAGGCCAGCTGGAAACTCGCCTTTAAGGTAATTTTTTTTTTAAGGAAAGAAAGAAAATAGAAAAGAAAATAAAAAGAGAGGAATGTTCATATTCACTCATGAGCGCTCAGAACTGCAGACGCCGTGACGCGGGGGTTCCTCTTACCAGCAGGTTCTCGGGCTTGATGTCACGGTGGACGATGTTGAGGCTGTGCAGGTATTTGATGGCGCTGGCCAGGTTGTACAGCATCCCACTGGCATCTCGCTCAGTGTATTTGTTAGTGGAAGTGATGGCATCGAAGAGATCTCCTCCCTGGGAGAGAACAGCAGGAGAAGTAGCACATGAGCAGATGGTCCAAAGGCGCCTGCCACGCGAGAAAGGGAGCGAAGGATGCGTGCAGGCTCTCTGGGCTCCTCGGCCTCTCCCCGCCACGTCGTCTCAAAGGCCCAGAGACCTGGTGATTTCTCTCTCCACTGCGAGAGCCACTGACATTTCCTCCAGAGCTCAAAGGAAGGAGCAAAGAGGGCTCTCTGCCTTCAAACTCCCAGGGAAGGAGGAGAAAGGGAGCCGGGTCTCCAGGGCACAGGCATTGTGACACCTGGGTATCCTGCTGGCATGTGCTACATGCTTCATCCCAACTGCCAGCAGAAGTTCAGACTCAGTCCTAAATCTCTCCAAACGAGAAGCAGGTAATACTGCAAACCGCGTCCTTGACGAAATGTTCTGCTGCCTCGTGAAATTCACACGCGCACACACGTGCACACACACGCGCGCGCACACACACTTCTCCCCCTTCTCTAGATTGAGGTCTCTTGGTGTGGGCGTACTGTTTTCTTTTTCAATAACGTGCTTCTTTGTTAGGAACAGAGAAAAGGACCAGAAACTGTCACTCCAAAGATGAAAGAGAAAGAGAGGGAGGAGCGTGGAGAAATTTCAAAGAAAGTTTTTCTAGGACCATTATGCATCAGAACTTCAGTTTCCCTTGCTCCCTGCTAATTTATCATTATTTGGGGAAACAAGGATTTTAGGCTCCAATTTTAGATCCACTTATTTGAAACCCTTTCAGAGGAGTTGGGTCTGATTTACTAACAATGGGTGCATCCGTCTTCCACACGAGGCACCAAACAGCCGAGCCTGGTAGCCAACTGTGTTCATCTGTTACCTAATGTGCGAAGAGACCCAGTTCCTCTATTTAAATAGCAAATGCAAAATAAGCACTTGCAGGCTGAAAATTTTCAGGTCCCACTCCCCCACCCCACCCTCCATATAATTTTCACTCAGGGTGTGGGGGGTATCTCCCATTGTCCCTTCAGCCTCAGCAGTCCCTGAACTAAGCACACATAGATTTTTTTTTTTTGCAAAATGAACACTTTCTCAACGTTCTGTTTCTGTCACAGGCAAGGCTGCTGTTGCGGGTTTACAGGTTGTTTCCATGCCAACCCAGGAGGCAGGGATTTGACTGTGGTCCACGTGACTGGCTCCCCTGTGTATATGGTTGTATGTGGAGACCCCGCAAAGGTCCCACCATTGTCCTAGTCATCCAGGCTCTAGGCGTCCTGTAATCTCATTTCTTCTCCCTCCTCAACAAAGCAGTCAACAGATCCCACCAGTCCTGCCTTTAAGGCACGCCTCGGACACATCCCTCGGGACCATCCGCTCAGCCTTCTGAGTGCGGCTTCCTGCTGCGTCATCCCTGGATCCTTGCCACGTGGCCCGCAAGCTGCGCTGCTTCCGCGGGCCCTTCCTCCAGAGCGTCCTGTGCCTGACTGTTACCTTCCCACACAGCACGTCGACGTTTTCTTTCTTCCTTCATGAAATCAGCCTTCCTTTTCCATAGCTCTCCCTGCTCTGCCCCAACCTTCTCTCCAATTTGCTTAATCTCATCTCCTGTCACGACCTTGACCAGTTACCTTTATGCTGCAGGTAGGATGTTTCTTCCCTGGTCAGCCAAACAGGCCAGACCCCGCTGCACTCCAGACCCCTCCCCGTCAGAGCCCCTTCCTGGACTGTCCGCCCTGCTCCCTCTGTGCTTCTAACTCCTGCTGATCGCTTAGGGCCTGGCCGCAGGGCCCCCTCCCCTTCGAGGCCTCCCTTCCTCTGTCACAGAAGCGTGCGTGTGTTCACTTCTGCAGCCAGACGTCTAAAGTCCTGTACTTGATAATTACGGAATTCCACTCTTAAGAACTGCCACTTGGCTGTTTTCTGGAATACAGGCCTCAACCACCCTCCAGCTTCAGGCGCTCCCTGGCCCCCCAGGGCTCTCAGGGTTTGTCAGGCACGGCTGGGCTAGGCTTCTCAGGAGGGATGTTTCGGGGGGCTCTAGGCCAAGCATTGGGTAGGCCTTCACTTCTTGGGATGCTTCTAGACCTGACCTCACAGCCGTTCTCAGTCAGACTACATGTAAGGGTACGATCAAGTGGCTGGACTGAGGAGTCCCAGCGCTGACATGCAGGCATGCTCTGGCCCTGTGAGGCCACCTTGGTCACCCAGAGAATTCACAAAGGCTGTTAAGTGGCACTGAGCTACTTTTACCTGACCAAGCATATGATCGACAATCGGATTAAGCTTTCCCACAAAATGTGTTCTGAACTCTTAAGCCTTTTCCTCTTTGATGTCTCATCTTCCAATTCAACTTAGTCTTAGCTTCTCCAAAAGTCAGGCAGTAACGGGGGCTGCTAATTAATTTTCAATAACATACAGAGGGGCGTGGGAATGGTCTGAAGTTGTCTAAAAATTAAAGACATTGCAAAAAAATACTATTCTTGGTGCTAAAGAAAGTATGATTTTCAATGTTGGCAATTACCAAACTTGATTTGGTAATAAAGTGCCAATACGAAAATTCGGCCATTCCTATATTCCATGACTGAACAGAATAAAAACATAATTTTATGTGACAGGATGAAATTGTAAACTCACTGAAAGGTGGCAGACTATTTACATTATTATTAAGCCTGTGCTATTTTTCTATACATTGGCGTCTAAAAGTTGAAAGCTTGTTTTTATAATAATGAGTGATACTTTTGGATGTAGTTCATGGGAAAGCGAACAATTTCTACTATAATGATAACAATGATCATATATGTATCCAATACTTCCTGTGTCACAGATGGCGAAAGCCATCCCTCTTATCCTCACAATGACACTCCTAGCAGGTACTATTATTATTCTTATTTTACAAAGGAGGGAACTGAGGCACACAGAGGTATACCCAAAGTCAGGGAGCTATTTAGGTCACGGCTGGGACTTGAACTCTTGCAGTATAATTCTAGTATTAACACTCCTAACCATTACGCCAATGCATGGAAATAAGACTGAACACTGCTGGGAAGACATAAAGGAGAAAGCTCTACTATATTGGAAAGTGGGGCGCCTTGTATAGGTTCACTTTGTTCTCTGAAATACACACCTTTACTAATTCCATGACAAGATACAGCTCAGTCGGCACATCCATCTCTTCAATCAGAAGAACAATATTGGGATGCTTCACTCTTCTTAAAATAGACACCTCATTCTGGATCATGTGCTCCTGTTCAGGGAAAAGTTATCTTAATCGATATACACGTCAAAATAAATGAGGCATTAACTCAAATGGACAAAACTATAGACTATTTGCAGGTCAGGGGAGATGTATTTTGCTAAGATACAATGAGTCTATTTTAGATTCTGATACTCAGATAGCCTACAATTGCCAGCAGATGTTGAAGGTCCTTAGATGATGCTTGTAACTTCAGAAGCTACAATAATCACATGTAGAAGGATGGGATGAAACTTAGGTCACAAAGGTAACAGAAGAAGTGAACAAACAGGCAAGCAGAGAAGGAAAAGAAGTAACATCCAATCATTCCAACTAGCTTTTATTCCAGCAACATTTACAGAATAAAGTAACATCCTCATAAGAATAGAACATTCTATTCCACCGAAATGCAGCTCCTAAGGTGAACCTGTGTTTATCTGGGAGTTCACCTTTGTGTTTCTTTCTATCCGCCCCCTCCCCGCACCAAACACTGTATTTCCATAAGAATAAACTTCATACATACTTTGCCTCGACACTTGCTTTTCTTGATAATTTTCAGAGCATACTCCCTAGCAGTCGACCTGCAAAGAGAAAGTTTTATTTTAAATAAACTTAATTTCAGATCTACTGAATCATCTTATCAAGGATGAATTTCTTACCCTGTAGATCTTGCATCATGGTGCAAATATTTTGTAAAAGATTCTCTTTTCCCTTTTTAAAAAGAAATACGTAAACTTGAAGGGGTTGGCCAAGTGTGAGGACAGCGAGCACTCTAGCACAGAAACATCCTGAGCCGTTAATGCTGCAGGACTCGGAACTCACCGACTGCTGTTACTGCCGCTGTGTGACTCCTCCTGCGAGGTGGCCCTGCCCTGCTCTCCCCTCTGAACTGGTGTGTGCTCAGGACACAGAGCAGGTGTGAGTTCCTGCCCTTCTTCCCAGTCTCTCTCGAGGTTCTCAACCCAACTCAAGCATGGCTCTCATGGTCACACTGACAACTCTCAAGAAGCAAGTTCACCCTCTTCAGACTGGGGTTGTGTGCGGCCCTCTGTGCTCTGCTGGGGACCTCAGGACTGAGGTGCTCAAGGAGTAGAGAAAGGAACACAGCCATTATCTGAGCATCCCGTGACCTCATGGGCCTTTGATGGTTGTCTCATGTGACAGAAATGAGATGGAGGTGACAGTTAAATCAACTCACTTTCCCGCAGCCACATGGCAGTGTGAAGCCCAGAACTTTGAGCTCTTGGGGTCTCTGCCTCGCATACAGCCCAGCCAACACCGCCCCTCCTCCGCGGTGGGTGTGGGAGGGAGAGCTTAGTCATACCGCACCTTTAAATAGCTTCCTGACTTGTGTTAACATTTCCAAGGTACTGTAGTGCCAAATGCGACAGGTCTATTGTCAAAGGACACAATGCAGTCTTGATAATCCCAAGAAACCACTACTTCTCAAGCATTGCCATTTCATTTCTGCTGGGAAACCAAGAGAGTCTAGCTTTTTACTTATAGATCAAGGCCAATTTGGGGGATCCAAATATGTACAATGGGAGTGAAGCTGGTTAAGAACAAAATTTTTAAATAGAATTTTAAAATCTTCAGTTTGGAGGATGAAAGGGGAATTTCCTAGTTGGGTGGTGAGACCAAGAGAGTGATTTGCCTACAAATAAATTAAGAGGCCAGATATTAACAATGTGTTTCACGAGGGCATTTCAGAAACCATTCACGTCATTTACTACTCAAATGCTTCTTTCACTACACTTTCACTACACTTCTAGGACCCTTCACGGTACTAGCTTGTAGAAAACTAATAAGCATCGATCAGATTGTTAAAATTGTATCTGGTGAATAAAACCAGACTGAAACCATCACGGTGAAGTCTACTTTCTCCACCAGAGGGCTTTGTGGTTCAGATGGGAGGGGGTAAACCCCTCTGCCTCAGGGTGGCTCTCCTGCAGGGGGTGTGGGGTGTCCAGAGGAACCCAAAGTGCCTCAATGACAGGAAGAAATGGACTAGGAGCCCCAAGGATGCCACTCCCACTGGGCCTCTGTTGATTCTTGAGGCCCCCGAGGAGGCAGGTGTGAGTCAGCCTTGGCTAAACTCAGGGCTTGGGGTGCCAGGTGTCCCCACATAAACGCCAGACCTTCAGAGAGGCTGTGTACCGCGGGAAGGGGATGAAGAAAAAGCACTTCGCTCAGAGGGTAAATGAAATATTTAACACGAGACGTAAAACGTACGAGCAGACATTTAAATGCGAACGTGAAATTACTCATATACAAGGGACTCCTCACATCACAGAGGGATCACGGCATCCCTTTAAGGGGCTTTTCTGAAGAGTTTGTTTGCAAATTTGAAAATCCTTCATCAAGAGGAAACTAAAGGCTGAAGAATTTCTGGATTCTGCTGTTCATGAATCACTAAAAGATTATGACAAAGCAAATCGGAGACCAGAAGATGTGAGAAGTTTCCTGTCTGGTTTAAGATACTTCATTTGATGGCAAGGGAATCTGGACTCTTGGACAGACGGCTCTGATAAGAGCCAGCAGCCCCAGGCAAACCAGAGACAGCTTCCATTCAGCACCTCCGCAAAGGGGATGGGTGGGGCGGTGCTGCTGAGAAGGCAGGGGTATTTCTTAGCTTTGTCACCCCCCACCCCCCCAACCCCCCCGTTATCACTGGATCCTCCATTTCCCTGGAAGGAATAACATTAAAGCTTTGCTACGTAAACTCAGAGCAGAGCTGGTGGGGGACTAGGAAGTCCGATTTCTCCTCTCCAGCCAGCCAGACCTGGAGCAGAATCCCAGGGGACAAGTGGGCGTCCTGGCTCGCACGACACCAAACAGTCAGGTTATATCCTGAGCCTACAGCAGAGGTGAAAATGCAAGCAGATCTGGGGCGCGGTGGCCCTAGAGCTGACTAGGAAGAAAGGATCTCGTGGGCGGAAGAACCAGAACCTTACACAATAGGATCAAACACTCAATTAGCTTTGCCCATATTATTTTAATCAGTGAGCCCCGTGGAGGACCACCACAATGCATACTGCAAGTTTTCTTCCTGGGTTCCTTGAGGACAGAACTATAAAGTCATAATAAACTTCTTAATTACTGGAAGTGCGTATTTATAGGAAAGTTGCTGACTCTGGAAAATGAGCCTAAAAACAGGTGTTAGGACTAAACGTATACCACAGGAATAAAAACGTCACTGCCTACTTTAAGTAGGTCAGTGAAAACACTTGGCAAGAAACAAAACTTCCAATAAAGCATCTGCCTTCCTCCATCCCCTACACTCTGAGGACCGCTGCGTCGGTGTAATTATTCAGCAAGCGGTTAGGAGCATGGTTCTTTGGTGGCTTCAGAGGGGATGGCGACCTGGTCTTTGACCTCAAGGAGTCTACAGCATGGTGTGCTAAGACTCGAAGACACCTGGATGGCTGGTGAACAGCCAGGCCATTTTCTTGTCTGTTCCTGAAATTTTATGCTTGACCTTTTATGAAATTACAGAAACCTCAAATGCCACGGCCAGAGCAGCGACAGCAAATCAAGTTTTGTTTTCCTCCTTGTCTGTGGGCACTCAATTTGTCAGGTCGGTTTCCCATGAAGTTTGACCCAAGGCTAGAGCTCGAACTACTCGGAGATACGTCTGATTTTTACCAACTTGAACTGAATCTAATTTCTCAGGTTTGTGCTAAAAATAGTTTGGAGAAAGTTCTCGTGTTTAACTTAATGACTCTCAGCCCTGGGGCAGTCTCCTCCTCGCCCCTTCCCCCAGCCCGGGAGCACAGTGGGATGCTTATAAAAAGGGTGCTCTGGAATAACA